GTGCTGGTCGCAAGACCAAATATAGTCAAAGAAGGGATAAGGCGCGGAGTTCACTGTGCTATATGGGCTCACGTCCATCCGGTGTGCGTTGCGGTGGTGGGATCAGCATATCTGGCTTTACACCGTCACGATGCACTTCGCAGAACCCGCACAGACGCCGCCACAGTCGCAGCCCTCAGGCCAATGGATGGATCAGCATCTGCTGGATCTGGAGGGGTGGGATCAGGAGTACCAGGATCTGATGGTCATCAACTGGCTGTGTGTGGACTTTCGGCAGCGGCTGCTGGACATGCTGCAGACGTCCTGCCAAAACAACTTTAACGAAGCCCGCAATCTGGCCAAGGAACGACTGTCGGATCTGGTCGAGCGCCTCGCATCCTCCGACGATCTGCATGGCGCCCTCTGCACCCCGTCGCTCGACTCGCGCTCGTCGGCAACTGCGCCGCAGCTCCTTCCCCGGACGCCGCATCTCACGCAGTATGCGCTGCCGACTGGAGCACAGAAAGATACCCACGAGGATGGACTCATGTGTACCCCAGAGCATGCCACATATAACTATCGCGGCTCGCAGGTGGTGGCCAGCCCGCCAGGGACGGGCCCAGCGCTCCTGTCACCCATCGCATTGAATCATCATGAACTTCCCCCAGGCTGTTCTGATTTCCTAAACTTCGACCTGCTCTCGGACGGGCAAGTCTTTTCTATCGGTACACACGCAGGCGACGCCTTTGACATCTGTGACTCCATCCCCGTTGACCCTGATCTCAACGAAATGGAGCTCGACCCCCCTGATGCCACCGCCACCACCACCAACATTACAACAGACAATACAACAAACTCCAGCAGGATATCGTCACCAAATACACACTCCACACCTCACTTTACCACTCCAAACCCGGCATCCGGGACTCCAAGTCCGCCACCCCCTCTGGCTGGGCTATCAACGCAAGAAACCCCCGGCACGCCTGCCTCACCACCTGCTGCACCCCAACGGCGACAGGTCCAGACGCGAACGGCAGCCCAAGCCGCATATCGAAGCACCCCAAGCCCATCCAGCGCGCCCACACAAGTCGAGGCAGAGAACGAGGTAGCCGAGCCCGCTCCTCTCTCGCCCTCAACAAGCTGGACCCATTCCATCCCCACCCACCTCCCATCCCCAGACACCGTCCTCGCAACCTTCACCCACCACCTCGGCCCAAGCAAGCAATCCATCGCCCTCCTGCTCACCCGTCTGTTCTACGCAGTGGGCTCCCCAGACGCTCTCTCCCAGCTCCGCCACGCCGTGAAGCTAAGCCGCGAGCAAACCCCAGTCATCATCCCGGCCTCCCCCAATGACCTCGCCACGACCGTCAAAGCCCTCGACCACCTCGACTCCATGACCACCCTCTCCCACATCCTGCGCCGCTACTACCTCGTCCGCCTGCTGGAGCACCGCACCCGGCTCGAGCAAGACCACGTCACAGCGCAACGAGCCTGCCGCCGCCCAAAGCGCATGCTCAAATACGACTGCGCCCGCGTCGAGCTCATCAAAAGCGGCCGCAGCGGCAGCGCAACAAAACCAAATGAAAAGAAACAACAACTACCCAAGTACCGATCCAAGAGCCAAGCACTCGCGGACCTGATGCAAATGCTTTATCCCGACTTGAAGCCGGCGGCGGACGGCAAAGACTGCGTGTATAGTAGGAAGCTGACGAAGCTGCGCAACCGACTGTCCTGCGCACGGAACTGGTATCGATTTGAACAGGCCTTTCCCGGGGCGATTCTGGCGTTGATTCCCTGTGCGGGGAGGTTCTCCGTCTCTATTGACCAGTCAGTTGATGTCGTGCTTGGGTATGAGATAAGCCAACTGACATTTTGCAGGATTGAGAAGCTGCCGAGTGAGACTGTCCAGGTGTTCCTGCGCTACCTGCAAGAGCATCGGGGGCCTTTCATGCGGTGCGTCAGTGAGACGCTGGGCACGGAGATCTTCAGCGTGTTGGGCCGGACAAGTGCAGGCAGTGATACCACGCCGACATTCGCGTTCGAGAAGGTGGAGGAGGATGGGTTTGGGGATGTCTTATATGATACTGACGAGTTTGTTAGCCTATGTAAGCAGGTATAGCAGTGTAAATTTCAGATCCACATTGACACGCAGCAAAAGCAAGCACGTTGAATACGATAGACACTGCAATCTAAACTCCAACCCCTACTGAGACACACCAAGTGCCTCGTCTACCTACAGCCTCAGTACACAATCCCCGTCCTCAACTTCTGATACGCCAGCGCAGTCATATCCTCATACCTCGGGGCCTGATCCCCAGGCACAAAATACGAAATCGGCGCGACAGACATCCCCCTATGCGGCTTGAGGAAGAACGCAACAGACCGTCGCGCAGGCAACGTCCCACCCCTCCCCCCATCCTTGACCCCCCTCGGCGTCGTAACCTGATGCAACCCAGCGCAAAGCCGCCCATTCGTCCACCGCTCCAGAATATCCCCAATATTCACGACGAACTCGGTCGGATTCTCGCGGTTCACTGGCAGGAACTGGGCCGGGTGCTCGCGGTCCTGGATCTCCAGCCCGCCCGCGTCATCCTGCGCCAGCAGCGTGATGATCCCGAAGTCCGTGTGCGGCCAGATCCGGCTGGTCTTGCCGGCTTCGATCGTCTGCACGGGGATCGAGGGGTAGTGGTTTAGCCGGAGCTCGCTGGCGTGGCCGTGGCAGAGGCGCACGAATGTGTCTTGCGGCACATCCATTGCCAATGCCAGGGCCTCGAGCAGCTCTAGCGTGATGGCCTGGCTGCGGTCGAAGTAGGCGTTCATGGTCTCTTGGAACCCGGGGATTGTGTGCGGCTCTGGCCATTTGTTGCGGAATTCTTCGTCGCCTGCTGGGCCGATGTCGAAGTGCTCCTGCGGGATTGGATCAGCGTGTCTCTTCTTGGTAAGATACATCCATGGATATGGTAGGTATGGCATCCGCACCTTTGCGTCCTGCCGGTCGTTCTCGGCGCCCTTTGCAAGACTGAGCTTGCCGCCTGGGTTCAGGAATCCAGTCTTTTCGGCGCCGACGCTGCTCCAGCCGCGCTGTGGCTTCGGGCCCTCGTCGTTGCGGATCGCGGCTTTCCAGTCGTTGGGTAGATCGAAGAACCGCTGGTTCTGGTAGAATTAGATGATAGACCTCGTATTGGATAGGGCGGGTTACCCAGTTGAAGATATCGGCCATCTCCTCCCTCGAGAAGCCATGGTTGATGAGCTTGACGAACCCCGTGGTCCTGAATCCGTCGAGCAGGGCTTGCCCGAACGCACGACGCTCGGCCTCAGAGCCTGAATGGAACTTTGTAAAGTCGAGAGTTCGAACTGCCATGTTGGTCTTGCTCGGGAGTGTAGAATCTGGTTTGAAAAGTACACAAGACAAGAGAGGTATTTATACCGCGGCGCCGAATCTATGCGCAGCTAGGCGTGCTACCATACCCTATACAGCCACGGAGGCTGTGCGTCAGCGCTAACAAGTGCTGCATCTTTTCTCGAAAGCCAGGCTGCTCGCCAACATCATGCCATTGACCTTGCAAACCGTAGCAACCATGGCCGACTCCCCGTGGCCACAGTGCCATATTCGAGTCGAAGACACGTTTGGCCCGCAGGTCGCAGGATGCTACGAGGACTTCGACTTCACCCTGCTCTTCGAAGAGAGCATCCTCTACCTCCCACCGTTATTGATCGCTGCGGCTGTCGCGTCACTGCGACTCTGGCAGCTGCGGTCTACAGAGAACCTGCTCAAGCGCTCGGGGCTCCTTTCGATCCTCAAACCAGTGAGTTCCAGCGATGGCAAAACGAACCCAGTTAACGAGCGCTAGCTATGCTGGACCGTCTTCGTTCTCCTCAACCTAGCACACCTGGTCCTCTCCTCAACCCTCAAGACCTCCGCAACGCGACTCTCCAACGCCGCAATCGCCCTCGGACTCGCCGCCTCGCCCATCTTCGCATGGCTCTCGTTCTGGGAGCACGCGCGCTCCCTGCGCCCGTCGACAATCCTAACCGTATACCTCCTCGGAACGATCCCCATGGACGCCGCGCGCGCGCGGACCCTCTTCCGAATGCCCGGGAATTCGGCGATCGCGAGCATCTTCACCACGACCGTGGTGTGCAAGGTCGTTCTGTTAGTCTTGGAGGCGAAGGAGAAAAGGCGCCTGCTTCTGGATCATGCCCGCGCACCCGAGGAGACGGCGGGGATCTTCAACCGCAGCTTTCTGTGGTGGTTTAACCCGCTCCTCCTGTCCGGGTATAAGCAGGCTCTCACGGTGGACAAGCTGTTAGCGGTGGATGGGGATATCGGGGTGGAGAAGTCGAAGCATGAGATTCGGCGGCGGTGGGCTCTGGGTATGCTTATCCCAGTCTACTCCAGCTGTATTGTGCGTATTCGGGCTGACTGGTGGTGTTTAGCGGTTAAGCAGAATCCTCGCAGTCTACTGAGTGTTCTTCTGGCTGTGTATAGAAGGGAGCTGTGGGGTGGCTTTCTTCCGCGGTTATGTTTGACTGGGCTTAATTATGCGCAGCCGTTTCTGGTCAATCGGGTCGTGAGCTTTCTGGGGCAGCCTGAGACCGAGACGAGCGGGGGAATTGCGTCGGGCTTGATCGTGGCGTATGCGATTGTGTATATGGGGATTGCGGTGAGTGAGCCATCTGGAAATGACGGTCTGGCACTGACATGAAGTCCTCAGCTCATGACCGCAGCATTCCATCACCGCTCATACCGCATGGTCATGATTGTTCGCGGCGGCCTGATCCTGCTGATATACGACCACACTTTAACCCTAAATGCGTCGTCCCCGACCAAGAACGACTCGTACACCCTCATTACTGCGGACGTAGAGCGCATTGTCTCGGGCCTCCGGAGTCTTCACGAAACGTGGGCCAGCCTCCTTGAGATCGCGCTTTCCTTATGGCTGCTGGAGATGAAGCTCAGGGTGTCGGTGGTCGCTGCCGGCCTGGTGGTCCTCCGTACGTAGCCTGAATCAGTGTGCTATCGGTGCAGCTAACGACTCTCCCAGTATGTCTACTCGTAAGTGGCGCACTCAGTGGGCTTCTCGGGGTTCACCAGAACCTCTGGCTGCAGGCCATGCAGAAACGCCTCAATGCCACCCTGGCCACGATCGGGTCCATTAAAGGCATCAAAGCCACCGGGACAACGAATACCCTGTATGAGACGATCCTCAAGCTGCGAAGCACGGAAATCCAGCGGTCCCTCAAGTTCAGAGAACTCCTGGTCGCGCTGGTCACACTCTGTACGTTCTCGTCCTCTGGTTCTAGCGTCTAAGCTGCAGCTCACTGTCGGCGAGGAAGCATACGTCTCAACCTCCATGGCACCGACCTTCGCATTCGGAACATACAGCATCCTCGCCAAGCTCCGAAACATGGCACCGCTTCTCGCGGCACGCACATTCTCCTCCTTGACGATCATGACGCTCCTCGGCCAGGCAGTCGCCGGGTTCGTCGACGCCCTCATGGGCCTGCGTCAAGCCACGGCCAGTCTCGAGAGAATCCGACAGTACCTCGCCGGGAAAGATGCGCCCAAGCGCTCGTCCGGCAAGCACAGAGTCGCCTCAACCGACGGATTGCTTGCCTGGTCGGCCAGCTTTAACGAACCGGCGCTTGACCCGTGGGTTGAGATGCGCCGGATGAGCTCGCTCCAGCACAGATTCTACAATCTCGCAGATTCCCAAGACGACCTGGTTGTCCTGCAAGACCATACCGCCAGCTGGGAAGCCTCGGAGCCCGTGCTGACGGACATCAACGTCGCCGTCGCCCGCGGGTCCTTCGTTATGGTGATCGGGCCGATAGGGTCGGGGAAGTCGACCCTGCTTCATTCGATGCTCGGAGAGGTCCCGCATGCAACGGGCATCGTGGCAATCCAGGACGTCGATACGGCGTTCTGTGCCCAGACCCCGTGGCTGACGAATACGAATATCCGGGACAATATCGTGGGAGTGTCGCACTATGAGCCCGGTTGGTATTCGGCTGTCGTCAAGGCCTGTGCATTGCACCGTGACTTTGCGCAGCTGCCGCGTGGGGATCGGTCGATGATCGGTAGTAAGGGCATTTTGCTGAGTGGTGGGCAGAAGGGACGTCTGGTGAGTCCTCCTATACGTTTGGTGCCTACCTGAAGCCACTTGTTGGTTAACGATGCTAGGCTTTGGCGAGAGCCCTCTATGCAAAGAAGACTTTGCTCGTCTTGGATGATGTCTTTGCGGGTCTTGATCCAAAGACAGAGCAGGAAGTGTTTACCTCGCTGTTTGGTGCCGGTGGCCTACTGAGACAGGGAAAGACGACTACAGTCCTCGCCACGAATTCCAGTAAGTCAACTTCTCTCATAATAAGAGAAGGCTGATTGCTGATCTTCCTGCAGCGCGAAACCTCTCATTGGCAGACTACATCATGGTCCTAGGCTCCGAAGGTCGCCTAGTTGAACAGGGCACACCTACAGAGCTCCTCAATGCCGGGACATCCCTGCGTCTAGAGGAGCTCGTCAAGACTCACGACCGCAGAAGCAAAGCTGAGCCCGAGCGAGAGAGGCCTGAGTCTGTTCTGACGCTGAGGAATAGCGGACTAGGAATGACTCCAGTTGCTGGGGGGCGCCGGTTGAGTGACATGGCTGTCTACAAACTGTATATCCGGACGATTGGCTGGGGCTCATGGTGGATTTTCATTGTCCTGTGCACCGGTTTCGTGCTGGGTTTGACCTTGTCTCGTGAGAATACCTTGCCCTGTACTGCCGGTGTAGATCGACTAACTGATTGTCTTAAGAAATCTGGCTCAAGTTTTGGACGGAAGCAAATGCTCGCAACCCTCATGATCGCCTGGGATACTATCTATCGCTTTACGCCGTTTGGTCTGTCCTGGCGATCACCTTCTTCCTGGGAGCATGTCTGTATGTCATGAACGTTCGACCTTCCTGTGCGTGGCTAACCCGTTACAGGCATCTGATGCTGAGGATGGTCCCTAAAGTAGCCAAGATCTTCCATGAATCACTCCTCAAGACGGTCATGAAGTTGTCCTCTCGCATCCCACTCATAGAATCCAACTGACCCCGTCCCAGGGCACCGCTGGTCTATTTCTCCAAGACAGACAGCGGCGAAATCTCCAACCACTTCAGCCAGGACCTCGAGCTCATCGACATGGAACTCCCTCGAGCCCTAGTCGGCGCCGTCATCGCCCTGATCCAATGTATCTCCTCCATGGCCGTCATCGTCTACAGCTCTAACTACCTCGCCGCCGCGATCCCCGGCCTCCTCGCCCTTCTCTACCTCGTGCAGATGTTCTACCTCCGCACCTCGCAGCAGCTGCGCGTGTTGGAACTGGAAACCAGAGCCCCCCTCCTCTCCCACTTCATGGAGACGATCCAAGGCCTCGTCACCCTCCGCGCCTTCGGCTGGGCGAACCACTACAGAGACCGGCACCACAGCCACCTCAAAGTCGCCCAGCAGTCCGCGTATCTTCTCTTCTGCGCACAGATCTGGCTGACGCTGACGCTGGATATCATTGTGGCGTTTCTGGCTGTGATTCTCGTCAGCATTGCGGCTACCATGAAGAACTCCTCCGCTGCATCGATCGGTCTGGCCCTGGTCAATCTGATTTCGTTTGGCGCGAACATGAAGGGGCTCGTGTATAACTGGACTGCCCTGGAGAATGCGATGGGTGCGATTGCTCGAGTTCGTCATTTTACCACTGAGACCCCGCGTGAGGTTCAGGTTGGTGAGCCGCACTCGCCGTCCCCTGGATGGCCTCAGCGCGGGTTGATTCAGTTCAAAGGTGTGACGGCTAGTTATGGGTCAGTTCTCAGCATATAATGGTATGACGGCGGAATCTAATATGTATAGCTTTACCTCACCCCCCGTGCTCAACGACGTGACTATAACGGTCCAGCCTGGCGAGAAGCTTGCCATTTGCGGCAGGACTGGATGGTACGTGTATTCCTCGAATCCCCTCACCGCGAACCTCTGCAGATGTAGGCTAAAGCTAACCATGTCCAGCGGCAAGAGCTCCCTCGTGAGCTCGATCCTCCGCCTCCTCGAACTCCGCAGCGGCGCCATCGAAATCGACGGCATCGACATCTCAACTCTCTCCCGCGAAGACGTGCGCATGAGCCTCAACACCCTCCCGCAAGAACCATTCTTCTACCACGGCACAATCCGCCAGAACCTCGACCTGAAGAGCCTCTCATCCGACGAGGAGATCCTGGAAACCCTCGCCGTGTTGGGGCTCCGAGACATCATCTTGAAAAAGGGCGGGTTGGACGTGGCGATGGATGACGAGTTCTTGTCGCATGGGCAGCAGCAGCTTCTTTGTCTTGCAAGGGCCATGTTGAAGAAGTCGCGCATTTTGATTCTGGATGAGGTTACGAGCAGGTTCGTTTTTTCTTCTTCCAATGGACTTTCGCCTCGTCTCGCAACCGTATCAACTAATGAACCCTCCTCACAGCGTCGATCAAGAGACAGAGGCTCTCATCACCCGTGTCCTCCGAGACCGATTCCAAGATCAGACCGTCATCTCGATTGCGCATAGGCTGAACACGATTATGGATTACGATACGGTGATTGTCCTGGATAAAGGGTGTATTGTCGAGCAAGGCAACCCACAGGTTCTGGCGTTGCAGCCCTCGATGTTTGCGAGTCTTCTTCAGTCAAATGGCGAGGAGGCCGGGGATGGGGATGGGCGTGAGTCTGAGTCTGACTCTGAGACTGAATCTGAAGGGACGAAGGAATAGGCGAAAGTCTTGACTTACCAACGAAAACATCGGTGGAGATAAGCACGTAAGTATTGGGCCAAGCGGCCAAATGGGACAAAAGAAAGAAGAGTTGGAGTTAGGGCACACGCATAGATTTGATCACGAGCCAGCGAATTGAGCATTTCTTGTTAGAATGTTATGAGCGTCACCGGTTGGGGGAATTACCCGACATCTACCGTTAGGAATATATGTGAAGTTGCCAATTATGGCATTTTGGAACTATGCATTTTGTTCTTACGGTTCATCGGCACGGGCTACATTAATTATTTTAAGTAGGGAATTATGGCTGCTTGACACTGCTATGAGTATGGCTAAGCGCTCGGTGTTGGAGTAAACCATCTTTCCTCCTTCAACGTATCTCATGGGACCTGTATAGAAAAGGTTATAAGATGCAGAGCGAATTGATAAGCTTAGACGAGGGGCTGAAGTGTGGACTAATCGCCAATTTTTGCCATAGTACTTAATGGGTCCAGTTCAGCAAGGTCTTCTGGCCTTGTGTGATGCCTTGTGGTCAAGTGGTCCACTATCTACCTCCAAGCACCGGCCATTTTGAACCCGCAGTAGGAACAAAGTCACAGACAGCAAGTCTCCTATCGACGGGACGACGGAGTAGATTTATGATAAGACAGTAAGGGTAGGATGAGCATTGTCCAATGTTGAATTCATTATCTTCCATAGCATCTCGGGGCCAGACTCAGCTCGCAGACGCGGGCATATCTCCATACCGGGCATAAAGCTACAAAGATACAATCAATAACCCAGAGAGAAAGAGTGAAGACATAACATGCAGTGCCAAAATCAATCCCACTTGGTGGTCTTCTTATACACCCTGGCCTGCCCAACTGCAACCTTAGTATGCGCAGTAATGTTCCACTGCTCATGATCGATCTGCCCCTGTCGACGAAGCTGCTTGGCCTCGACGTCAAAGCAATCCTCCTCGAACTCGTCCCGGCACAGAGGCCACAAAGTCCTCGTACACATATCACACATGAGCCCCTCAGCATGCGAGACGAAGTCTGGCCCCTTGGCGTTAGGGTCACGACAGAGCTCCGAAGCAGTGTGACCGGGATAGGAACTTTCAATGAGCTCGTCTGGATGGGTACAATAGTTATCGCTGTTGTCGTTACTAGACAGAACGGAACGCCTCTTGACCCCGTAGGAGGGCTTATAGTCCTTCCCCTGCTGCTGCCACTTCTGCAAACGATGCTGCTGGTCGCCCCAAGGGAAGGGATCGATGTCGTTGGCGCTGGGCTCGCACTTGGCCTCCCCCTGCGTGAACAAGTCGCCGAAATCCTCGTCGCCCCCGCCATTCCTGGGAGGCAGCGGCGGGTCAAAGATAGGCAGACAGCTCATCTCCGAGAGCATCGCGTACATGTGCAGTCGGGGCTTGCTCTTGCACAGGGTATCCGGGTGCTCGTTGTACTGGATCTGGAGGGCCTCGTTGCTGTCGAAGTCGATCGTGTGCAGCCCGATGCCCATGGGGAAATTGTTCGTCGGCAGCCCCGTGTCCTCACGGGGCGCCCCGATCCAGAAACAGGCGGGCTTGTACGGCTGGCCGTCCAGCTGGATCGGCAGGTTCGAGTGGTACCAGGCTGCGCCGCAGCTCTTGGGGACGTCGCCGTACAGCGCCCAGTAGTCCTTGCTCGGCGGGGTGAGGGCCAGGTACGCGATGCAGAGGGCGTTGTCGCCGCCTGCGACGACGCTCATGTACTCTATGTTAATGGTGTTCTGGCTCTTGATGGGCGCGATCTTGATGTCCTTGAAGTTTCCTTCCTCGATGATCTCGTCGGCGCTGCCGGCTTTGAAGCCGACGCGTTCGCCGTTCGGGCTGAAGAGGGCGACGCCTGGCACGCTGCCTCCTGTGCTGGCTGTGGAGTCGCCTGGCTGGGATAGGCCAGCGCCTACCCTGAGGATGGAATATTGGGGCTCCACGTCGGGGAAGAAGGACTCGGCGAGGGGGATGCCCAGGAGGTCGAGGCCGATGGCGTCGAAGACAGAGTTGGTTGTAGACATTGCGTTGGAAGAGATATAGACAAAGGCAGTTGCACGTGGTGGATGCTGTAATTCATACAGAGTGCCGGGCTATTTGATTACTTATATAGCTTTAACGGACTGGGGACAATCATGCAAAGTTGGAAGTACACCTGCTGCAGTAGGCATCATCATTTACACCCCCCCTGGAAGACAGTACATCTCTCCTTGACCCTGGACAATGTTTCGGATTTAATAAAGGGGTATCAATGTTGGCGAGGGCCCGGGGGTAATCTGACATCCATTGCTCCAAGTGCGTCAACTTGCGGCGGACCGGTATGGGGAAAGGATTATTCGTCTATGCTCTACGTGTTGCCTGATATTGGCAAGCACACCTGGGCAGGGAATTAGGGTGTCCGAAAGTGGTAACAGGGCACCTCTCCAGGGGATCGCCCTGATCAACTTGTGGTGTGGTGTCATCAGAGCAAGAGGATGCACGGATCTGCATCCATCATACATATAGGAGCGATAGTCTGGTCGGCCGGCCAGAAGACGCTTGATCTATGTGCTACGCCTCTTCCCTTATCTCTAACTACTCGCCGAGATCTTACCGCGTTGGAAGCCTCTACTATATGATTGGAGCTCGGGTGTTCGAAGAAAGTATGGTATACACCTAGATACACCCGATTCGAAGGGTTCCTTGCATTAGTGTAGGCAGCAATTGTTGGGAGCAGGGCTGCATTTTGTGTTGGTTTAGTGATATTGATACATGAGACAAACTACTGCAGGTGGCATACTGTTGGCACTTGTGCGGTTCCGGGATCTTTGCTTTGCGTTGGTGGCTAGGGTGATCACCTCCAACTGAAAATGAGGTTGCCTACCAAGATCTGATACGTTTCATCTTAGAAAAAGCTGCGCCACACTGGCTCATCTACATCTCCATTGAGAGGGCGACTGGCTCGTTGGGGACGGGGACATCGACCTACCGGGGTATGGTAGGAGACTGGGCGCCACCTCCAAACTCGTTCAGGATCACCCTATCCGTCTATCAGATATGACTACAAGAAAAGGTGATAGTGAATCCAGTCTTTACTAGAGGCTCCGTTGTTGGCACAAACACTGGAACAAGGAAACCAAGCTGCCTAGCATGCTGTGAGGACGCTGTCTCCGGAGGAAGCAGGAATACGCACGGCACGACACTGCTAGGTAGTGGGGTTCTAACAATAATCATCCATGAAATTGGGACAAGTTATACTAAGCACAATCTGACCTCACAACTGCCTGAAACTACATGCTTGAAACCTCGCTGACAGCAAAGCAAACGCCCACCACGCAACTCAGCCAAACAAGGTAGGTCGAGCTAGCATCCAAAGCCCTTGAGCCACTCTCCAGTAGCGGAAGCAAGTCCGTTGCAGCTCTCAGCACAGCGTAGTGCGTCTCGGGCTCTATATCCGAGTCATTCGAGCCAGGGGGAAACAGGATCGTAATAACGGGCGTCGTGCCCGCAACCGTCTGCCAGATACTCGTGAACCCGGTACTAGTGACCGGTCGAAGGTTGTAGTTCTCGCCGGTGCTGAGGGTGCAGTTTGCTGGCTGGGACGCGTTGGTGGTGAAAGCTGGATGCAGTATATCAGTAATGCGTCCTTAAAAAGAAATAACTGATGGTGTGAATACCTTCAGTGTCAATAATCGACAGGATATACCCCCTGCAGGACTCCGGGTGATACTCGTCCAGATCATCAATTTGTTGCCCACAAAAGGCAGCAATATCTTCGTCCGATCGAAGCGTGACATTCTCCCTCGCAGCGCGGTCAAAACGTGCCGTGAGATCTGCGACACATTGCTGGGGAAACTCTCTGCTCTGGTTGAAGGATTGCTCTGTATTGGAACCCGGAGATATCACAAAGGGTTCGATCAGAGTCGGGTCGTAGAAGAAGAGGCTGCAGGCGCGGAACGAGGTCGTAGAATCGCCTGCGTTACTTGGGGAATACCCGAAGTAGAACTGACGGTAATTGTAATACATGGAGTTGAGCTTGGGATACGTATCCCAGTTCATAGTTGTAGTCCAGGTAAGTGGTGACGCGGAATAGTTGGACTTGAAGGAGACGCTGGTTGTTGAGAGGGTCCTGTTGTCCTGTGGCAAGCATTGTACAAGGTCTTCACTGTATGAGCCATTGGTTGTTGCTACGTTTGCCACGGCAGAGGGGATCAGTCCGAACAGAAGAGCAAGAACGAAGAGCACGGTGCTTGCTAGTTTGCTATGGCAATATGAAGTGGAAGGCACACGTTGTAGAGAGTGAAGAGTCAGTCTGTAGAGAAGAAGCGCAGCATCGATGAGTGTCTTGCAATCTTTTGAGCATTGGAATATCGCAGCCCACTACAGCCTGAATCAAGATTTTAGATATGCTGATGGAGGAGCGATCCCGAGAGTTAGCAAAGGCAGCCTTGCTGCCTCCATCATAATGCATCTTGTGCGTGTTAGCTTTTCCTGTTGGTGGCTGTGTTGTTATTTCTTTGTTCCTGAAATAGAGGAAGGCCTTATTTGCTGTTCTGTTCGTAGTTCAGTGCCTAACGATTGGTGACTGGAGGCTTGGTACCTGAGTAGCTTAGCCCTAATGCACATAAAGTCACACCAAGACCGACAGCACAGGACCTCACCCCAAGGGATTGCAGGGTCCACCTTCTAGAGCGGGGTCAGGAAGCCCAGGGCTAGGCCTTAAGCACGCCGTAGAGCCAGCTGTTTGACAAAATCCTAGATATGAACAAAAAGCATCACTGAAGAGACAGGGTCCTCTTCCTGGTAGCGTAGTGCTGGAAGTGGGTGCCTGAGGCCACCGGCGGCCTTAGGGCTTTAGTAAAGGAAGGTTTTTTTAGCCCGAATAGCCACCTGTAAAACTTTTTATTTATTTTTAAAATATTTAGCTTAGTATACTAAGTAATATAAAAAACTTTTATTTATAATAATTATTTATTTTTTTTAATAGGTTATAAGCCCGGGTTTACTTAATTTATATACTTAATTAAAAGTTTTTTTAAGTTAACTTATACTAACTAAATATATAATATTTTCTTATTTTACTATTTAGCTTTATTATTTTTAATTTTACTAGTTATTATAATAGTTAAAAAGCCTTATACTTAAGGTAAGACCTTTATTATAAAAATATAAATATTATAACTTTTTTTTATACCTTAAATTTTTTATTTTTTTTTTACTTTTTTAATTAACTTTTAATTTTATAAACCCCTGCTTCCTAGGGCCACATGCATTTAATTTTTTAATAAAAATAAGTTTTTTTAGTAGCTAAAAAGTTTTAAAACCTTTAAAAATATTATAACACCTTTAGGTTCCTTAATTTAAACTTTAATTTTAATTATTTTTTAAAAATTTAAACTAACCTTTAAATATTTAACTAGCTATTTTTAGTTACTAGCTTTTTTTTTATAACTATCCTGGTATAGGCTTTAGCCTATTTAATTTTAATTTTATTATAGTAACTTTTTAGGGTTTATTTTTTTTTAGTTCTTAATTTTATTTCCTAAGTAATTTAATCCCTAGTACTTAAACTACTTTATTTTTTTATTATTTAGCTTTTTTATATTAAGTTAAAATAAAAAAAAATAATTTTAATTAAAGCAAAGAACATCCTGGTTCTAACCTTAAAAAACTAGTAGGTTAAATAAAACTAGTAAGTATTTTTAAAACTTTAAAAGGCTGGCTATAGCTACTTTTTAAAGTAATTAAATTAAAAATACCTTATAAAAACCCTTACTAGTTCCTTTTTTATTATACTAGCTTTAGCAGGCAAAAATACTAAAACCCCTAGCTAATAATTTACTATAAGCTAAGTTAAAAATATAAGTATTAATAATAAAGTTTTAATTATTATTATATTTTTTACTTAACTTATTATTAAGGCTATTATTACTAAGGCTATTACTAAGCCTACACCCCTAGTAAACTATAATAAGGCTAAGATTTAGTAGTAAAATTAAGACCATGCTATAGCTTTAATTTTTAGTTATTTAAGTTTTAATTTATAAAATTTTTTTTATTAACAAGTAAATAATATATAAGCTACTTAATAAAATTAAAAACTATTTTAAACTTAATATTAATACTATAATTTTTAAGGCCTGGGCTAACTTAATATTTTTATTTTATAATAAAAGCATCCCTAACTTTAGTAAAAAGCTTAGGAAAATCTAGTAGGAATTTATATATATTAATATTATTTTTTTAGTTAAGCTTATTATTATTACCTTTTATTAAGCCCTAGGTAATTAATTTAATTATTTTAAGATTATATACTTTAATAACTATATTATTAAATATTTTTTTAGGAAATATTATTATATTAATTACCTTTTTAAATAACTTTATAATTACTACTAAGTTTACTAAATTAAACTAAAACCAGGGCACTAGTACCCTAGCACTTTTTTTAATAAGGTATTTATAAAGCCTAATATTAAATACTATAAAAATTATATTAATATTATTTAAGTTTATAAAAATAAAGGCACCGCGAATATTATTACTTATTACTATTTTTATTATAACGCGCTTTTTTATAGTTAAAAAACCTGTTATTAATTTTATTTTAAACTTAGGAATAATTAAGAAAATTATAATAGTAAAAGCGCTAAGCACCCCTAAAAAAACTTTAAATTTATGGAAAATATAAAGCTTATGCTTAAGCTAGCGCTTATAACTTAAATTAGCTTAAATTTTAAGTAAAAAATTATTTAAAATAATTTTATTTAATAAATTACCTTAAATAATAATTATATATAACATATTACTTATAATTACTTTTTATTTTAAAACCTTAAGCCTTATACTAGCCTTAATATTAAAAATATTAGCCCTAAAGCTTTTAATACTTAAGGTATTAATATTATTAAAATTCCCTACTATATTAATAGCTGGCTTAAAATTTTAATTTTAAATAATATTTTATATTACTTAAACATGTTTTTTATATTAATTTTTATTTTTTAACTATTAAATAAGTACTACTTAGTTAACTTTAATTAATAAAATATAAAAGCTAAAAAGTTATAAAGTACTAATATTATTATTTTATATAATTATAATTTAGCATAGTACACGGCTATTAAAATTTATAAAATATTTTTTTAACCTTTACCAGGGGCTAGTAATACTAGCTATTTTAATATTAATAGTTTTTATTTTTTAGGATAAAATTTTCTAGCTTTAGTATTAATAAATAAGCTATATTTTTAAAAATTAGCTTAATAAAATAAAAAAAGTGGTTTATAGCACGCATATACCTAAAAATTATATTTATAAATTTTATATTATTATATACTAATAGGCCAAGCCTTACAAGGGCACTATAATACTTATTAATTAATTATTTAAACTTTTTTATATAAATATCTCCGGCCTATATTTACTTTTATTTAATAAAAAAGTATATATTAATTTTATTATAAATAATAAATTTTATTACTACTAGGTTATAACACTAGCTAGCAAGAACAAATTTATTACTTAGGCTTTTTTTATTATTTACTAGTATAATATACCTAAGTTCCTGCTGCGCCGTGTATATTATAACTAAAGGGGGGAAAATATTTATAATTTATAATGCCTTATTTATAGCTTTAAAGCTATTATAAAAACCTTTAATATAAACTAGTATAAATAAAATAATTATACTAAAGTACTTATTAATAAGCTATTTAACTTTATATAATTTATATTATATAATACTAGAGCCCTAGCTAATATATAATTTAAGTTTTATAAAAATATTAATTATTTATATAATTAAACTTTATATTTTATATTAAATAATATTATATTTATAAAGCCTGGTATAGTTATTAACTAAATATTTTTTATGTTTATATTTTTTAGTTTAAGGTTTATATTTTAAACCTATTAAAAAAGTAAAAAAAGCTTTATAAAAATAGTAAAATAAAAATTAAAAGGCTAGTTAAGTTTAATAAAAAAATAAATAAGCTACACTAGGTTTTCCTAAATAATAGCCATGTGATTTTAATATATAATATTAATATTATTAAGAATTATTATATTAAACTAGATTTTTTACTAAAAGTAACTACTTTAGTACCTTTAAAAACCTTTATTTTTAAGGCCTTATTAAAAGTTACTAAAACTCCAAGCCCTCCAAAATTTTTTATTCCTAAGGCCTTACCTTTAAGCCCTTTAAGGATTTTTATCCCTAAGGTACTTAAAGCCCCTACTTTTTTAAAAATTCCTATTTTTAAAGCTTTTATTTTTTTTAAAAAAATCTTTATTTTTAAAAAAGTACTAGCTAACACTAGCCTAAATATTAAAAAAAACCTTTAAAATAAATTTTTAAAAAGCTTAGCTCCTAGGAACTTTTTTAAGTATATAAACTTTAAAAATTTAGTAATAAAAGCTATTAACTTAGCTATTAAAGCTAATATATTTTTAAAAAACTTAAATTTTAATTCTTATAATACTAGCCTAGTATATTATATACATGCTTAGGCTATTATTAATTTTAAAAGGGCTTTTTAAATCCTAGATAAGCTAGCCTATTTATTTTATTTTTAAAATATTACTAAAGTTATATAAAATAAAATTACCCTAGCTAATAAACCTTATTTTAATAATTTTTAAGTACTAACTAGTAAGTCTAGCTTAAATAATATTTTAGTACTAGCTATAATACTTTATAAGTAAATTTTTAAAAAAAAATAAATTAATAATTTAGCAAGCTAAGGTTAAAAATAAATAAAATAAGTAATTTAAGGGTATGTAAAAAAAAATAATTTTTTAATTAAAAAATAAAACCTAAAATTTTATTAATTTACTTTTTAAAAAATACTTGCTTCTTAATAAATAAGTTTTAAAGGTTAAAAAAAAATTAAAAGGCTAAATTTTTTATTATAAAGCTTACTAGGTAGTTTATGGCTTTAAGTAAGTTTATAAACTTAATTATTATAAAACCTTTATTAGGGTAGTAAAATTAATAAGTTATAAGCTTTTTTTTATTATTACCACCGCGCTTAACCTTAAAATTTAATAAATAA